TCTATTTTTCTACCAATCAATGACTCAAACAATTTATTCACAAGTCGCTGAAAGGTTGCCCCAACATTTTTCAACCCAAAGGGCATGACCTTGTAACAATACAGGCCGAGCTCAGTTATAAAGGTAGTCTTTTCTTCATTAGTTGGGTCCATCCTGATCTGGTTGTAGCCTGGATAGGCGTCTAGGAAGCTCAACAACTCGTGCCCAGAGGTCGCGTCCACTAGACGATCGATCCTGGGGAGTGGGAAGCAGTCCTTTGGGCAAGCTCGATTCAGGTCGGTGTAGTCGACGCACATGCGTCATTTACCGTTAGCCTTTTTTACCAGAACGGGATTGGCCACCCAGCTTGGGTAATGGACCTCCCTGATAAAGTCAGCTGCGAGGAGCTTCCCGATCTCCTCGTCGACTGCCCTCCATCGCTCTGGGGCTAAGTTGCGTTTCTTCTATCTAACGGGCTTAACTACATGATCAATATTAAGCTTGTGAGTTATGATGCGGGGGTCTATGTCAGGCATCTCTGCCGCGGACCATGCAAAAACATCTAAATTTTTAAGTAAGAAGCATACCAATTGAGATCGCAGGGGCTCCTCTATGGATGCGCCGATCTGAAGTGTCCGGGTTGGATCCTCTACCGATGTCGGGATGGAGATAATCTCTTCTGTGGGCGCAGCTCGCTCCTCGCACTGCTCCGTAGGTCGCTTCAGCTCGAGATCATCGGCCACCTTGCCTTTCCCTTTGAGGGCGGCGTCGTAGCACTTGCGAGACTCAAGTTGGTCACCTCGCGCTATCTCGATTCCAAAGTCCGTGGGGAACTTCATCGCCATGTAGTAAGTGGAGACCACTGCACGTAGGGCATGGGTGATCGGCCGACCTACTTTGGCATCATACGGGGAGGGGGTTGCGACCACTAAGAAGTCGTGGTTGAGCCTCACAATGCTAGGCCAGGTGCCGACTTCCACAGGTACTGTAATCCTTCTCAGGGGCCTGACTTCCTCTCCGTTGAAGCCTACCAGGGGAGTACTCGCAGGCTTCATGTTGCTTTCTAGAAGCTGGAGCTGGTCGAATGCTGTTTTGAAGAGGATATCCGTCAAGCTGTCGAAATCGACAAGGACACGCCTGACTTCAAAGTCGTTGATCTTTATCTTTATGACGAGCACGTCATCATGGGGGTAGTGGACCCCGCGCGCATCGTCCTCCCTGATGAAGATTGGATCTTCCATCCTTGGCTGCTTCGGTGGGTTCTGTTCTTCTCTGGTGGCCTCGCGAGCTGATGTCCGAGCTGTAGCTGTGGTACAGCCTGCGACAATCGAACCTCCAACGATGATGTAGATAGTCCCCTGAACTAGTCCCTCTTCGGGGGCTGCCCCTACAGTTGCTCTGCCTGCCTGCTGGATTCAGGAGCCTCTCTATTCATTTCCCCCTGTCGACCTGCTTTATTATTATTATTATTATTATTATTATTATTATTATTATTATTATTATTATTATTAATTATTATTATTATTATTATTATTTTGTACAAAATTTCTCAAGTATCCGCGACGAATGAGCTCCTCTATCTCATCGCGGAGGGTTTTACAATTTTCGGTGCTATGACCATGATCTTTATAGAAGCTACAATACAAATTTTTATTCCCTACACTAGGATCGGCCTTCAGCCGAGGTGACTACTTCACATACGGGGCGCCCTTGATCGCCATAAGGATCTCAGCCCGCTTCACATTCAGGGGCGTATAGTCCGTTCTTTCGACTACTGGAGCTCGGAAAGGCTGACTCGGCCTTACCCCCCGAGTTGGGTCTTTTTTCTTCTTACCGTCCCCTTGAATCGAGGACTCGCCTTCCCTTTTTCTCTTTCCGGGCGCACTTGCGTTCTTTTGGTTGATTTCCTCCTCGGTCCCTATAAACTGATCCGCAAGCTTGAGGAACTCGGTCACAGTCTTGGGCTGGTTAATTACCATGTGCCACTTGAATTCTTTATGAGTGATGCCTCACTTGGCCGCGGTGAGACGAACTACGGGGTCCAGATCGGGTATTTGTAAACAAGCGTCATTGAACCGTTTGATATAACTCCGAATGGATTCCCCTTCCTTTTGGACTAGGCCAAGGAGGCTCTCTTGAGTTCTTGGGCACATCTTGATGGTGACAAAGTGGGAGGTGAAGACATGCACGAACTGCTCCCAGCTTCTTATCGGTCCGGGTGCAAGGTTTCAGTACCATGTGCGGGCCACACCTTTAAAGGTGGTGGAGAAGGCCACACACATACAGGATTCACTAGCCCTTGCCAGGTGCATCTGGGACTGGAAGGCATCCACATGGTTGTTCGGATCGAAGGATCCGTCGTACTTATCTAGGGGAGGGAGCTTGAAATCCTTTGGCATAGGGACTGCAAGAAGTTCTAATGACAGAGGGGAAGGGACCGACAAGAGAGGAGTAGCTTTTACTTCATTTGAGCTTACCTCCTTCTTACCCTTGAGCTCGGGTAGGACGTGGGTAGTGATTCGGCGAGCTCGTTGACGCCTCCGCTGCTGCTTCGCCGGCTCGGCGTTGGTGCTGCTAGCTTCAGTATTACTGAGCTCGATGGGCTCGGACTACTGATGATAGTTGTGGACCGAAGGGCCTTGCTTGTAATCTATGGCTAGGACCTCGAACTGGTTTTCTGCGAGCGAGAGCTCAAACTGAGAGTGCTAAGGTGAAGCGGGCTTGATCGGTTGGGAAGCCCCCGACCTGCCCGCGGGCTGCGAGGCGGGGGTGACTGGTCTCTCCTTCCTGCCGTGGGACAATGCTTGGCTTTTGGAAGGATTCTGGGTTTGAGAGGCCTCTCCCCGGTGAGGACGTTCGCTCCGATGGGAGGGCTTGGCCTGCTTCAAGGCCGGATGCCGAGGGGGAAGCGGCTATTGGGCTTGAGGCAGTGAAGGGAACTGCTGTTGGTACTGGTACTGAGAAACTTGATGTAACACTTGCTGTTGGTAGAGTTGAAATTGCTGGAATTGTTGCATTTGACCCTGCATGGCTCGCATGCACTGCACCAGATCTTCAAGCTGGTTTTGGTTGCTCGCTGGGGGAACAACAGAAGGTTCAGTAAAGGTTGCTACAACCGCAGAAGGGAGTGGAGCGTTCACAGGTGCCACTATGTGAGGCACGTTCATGCTGGGAATTCCGTCTGCGGAGAGGGGGACGGTGAACTGTCCGATGCAGACAGTGGGGAGCTGAGATTGTTCCCCAGGAGCATTCTGGTCGCCACCACGTCCGGCATTACTAGAGAAAACCATGAATGCTAACTTTTTTAGAGGGAGTTGTGGAGATTAGAGGAAGGCTTTTTGAAGCATTCCCACAAACGACGCCAAATGATGCTGCGCAATCTGGGCACTCCTAGCTGGTAGTCAAGTGGCTCCTAACTAGCGATGAACGATACCTGAGAAGAAGACGGTGAAGGATTCCCGGGGGACTTGCCCGGTGGGAATACTTCGATGCTTAAGTTAGAACACCTGAGAAAGCGGTAAGGAATGTAGAGAAAGCTAAGAGTGCAGGTAGCGCTAGATCAATCAAAGTTCGAGATTAATTCAAGATACAAGATGCCAGTTCTCAGATCCCTTCGCCCCTTCGACCCCTGGGCACTATAAATGCAGGTGTTCTTGATAAAACGGGCGTAACTGCCACTGGCTCTCTGTTGTAGCCATTATTTGCCAGGGCTGCGCAGGTAACTGTAGCAAGGTACTGCCCAATCGATTGGGAGACACATACCCGGAAGGGATAGACACGCCACCACCTGTCGAGGGATGTGGGTGCACTCTGCTGGGTTGGTAGGGACTACGCCATCAGCGAGGAGACGTGATGCAGTCACAGGTATGGTCTTGTCAAGTAAGAAGCTTCCTGAAAACTCCGCGTCACTTAATAGCGAGCGCTTTGTAGCGAGCTATCCCATAGCTCGTTGCCCTGTAGCGAGCTATCCCATAGCGAGCTACCTTGTAGGGTGCTCCTAGATGTGTCCCAAGGTGATTCTGCCTGAGGTTGCCTTTTTGGGGCAGTCTTCTTGCCTAAGTATTGGAGCGAGCTGGTTCTCTCAGCTTGCGAGCTGGGATAGACTTGTCCTGAAAAGTTAGATCATTGACCTACCTACCATCAAGATATGGAAATGGTTTCATTTTCAAATTGGTTTTACATTTTGGATTTCATTTATATCTTTGGTAAAATAATTATTGTTTATTATATTTATTTTTATTTATATTATTAGTATATAATATTATAGATGTGCCCAAAATTGTTTTGTGTTTTTTATATTATTTTATTGTAAAAAATTACTTTTAATTATTTATAATGGGTTAACCTATTTGACCTCAACGGTTGAACTACTAACTCACCCCTTAAATAAAAAAATGCCTTAATTTTTTGTTGGTTTTGTGTTGTATATTTGATGTCCATCCCTAATAGAATTATATCTATTTTATCATGTTATCTTTTAATATGACAAATATATAACAATGGAAAATGTCCAATTTTTTTTCAAAATTTTTATATTCTTTTGTATTTTTATATTTATGACATCATGAAATTATCGATTTGACTCAAATGATTGAAGTACTTATCCACGGCTTAGACGGAAAATATGATTTCATTTCTAGGTTTATTTTAAAATATATAAAATTTTATTCTATTAATAATTATTGTATATGTATTTATTAGCAGAATTTAATCATGATAAACAAAAGTGTTTTATATTTTTAAATTTGGATTATTTATTTATAATATCATGAAAATTATCAATTTGATCCAAATGGTTGAACTATTTACCCACCATGTAGATGAAAAATATGATTTCATTTTTATCTTTATTTTAAAAATATAAAATTTTATTTTATTAATACTTATTTTGTATGAATTTATTAATGGATTTTAGTGATGATAAAGAAAAGTGTAAATGTTGGATTAATGCGATTTATCTAATAACTTAAATGTTCACACTTTTATAAGTTGTATAGATAGATTTCCCTTCCACCCCCACCTAGATGCCCCAAATCCCCCTCCCATGTCTCTACTCTTCTTCCTTCCCAAGCCTTAAGAGCAGAAAGAGAAATAGCCATGCCTACAATTTCTCCGAGATCATCTCCATCACTTGGGCTTCTATCACCATTCCCTCCAGAAGCCAAATCTTCAAGTTTTCGTCTTGTGAATCCCAATCTTCTGATTGCTTTTCCACCATCATCATTCTTTTATGCATTTGGGCGGCTGGCAACTTCTCCCAGTGATCCACCAACTGTAGATCTTCCACCACCACCATCACCACCTTCAGAGTCACCATCAACTGTAGATCCTCCACCACCAACATCACCACCTTCACCTCCATCACCTTCAGAGTCACCGCCGACTCTGCCTTCACCTCCATCACCTTCAGAGTCACCGCCGACTCTGCCTTCACCTCCGTTGCCTGGGTCATCACCACATGGTTCTGAGCCTTCTCCTAGTGGCAAATCCACTGGAGTCGTAGCCGGATTATCTGTTGGTGGAGTCATGGCGATGCTTGCTGTAGTTGGCGTCATACTATTTGTTTGGCATAAGAAGAAACGTGGATCAGGAGATAACGCATCGGGAAATTCAAACATAAAAACCTCAGACCCGGAGGCTCCAAATACAAATAGAGGTTAGAGTTTCTCCATTCCTTTTTTTTTTGTCTTTTACCTTTTTATTTATAATTTATACATTGCTATTGCAAATTTATTACAGCCTAAGATAATAGTCTTATTTTATTAAGAGTCCCATGAGGATGATCGACCATAGTTTCCCATTCAAGAGGACAACCAGAACCCATAAAATACATAGAGAAATACTGCAGGCAACTCAGACTTGATATTATTCACTAAACAAAGAGGTGTTCTTCGATGTAAAGTAATTGTTTTTCTTGTTTGGCGATTCCAAAAACAAAATAAAACKAATTGGTTTCAAAACAAATAATTTTTTAAATAAAACATAAAAATTAAACATGTTCTTGTTTATATGTGTATGTAGCTTCATTAAATTAAAGTTGCTTTGGTTAAACCAGCTCAATCTATACTTCAATCCACCCATACCGCTCAAGATATATGGAATTACCCACATCAACCATGTTGAAAATCAATTAAGTAGAATATATATTTAATTTATCTATCATTCTCTAACACAGATTCATGGGTTACGTTAAGTGGTTAACTATGGATCTATATGGCGTGTATTTTTGAAAAGATTTTTTGGTAGTTCTGATAATTAAAAGATGTATTAATGGACCTTTTACATGAAGATTTGAGCAATGAGCAGTTGGTTCGAGTGCATTTTTCCATATCTTCCGACACGATAATAAAACATGAAACATACATCCAAAATCAGCTCAAAACAAGATTTTTTCCTTTTTTTTTACGTTCAAACTTTTACTGACTAAATTTCCCACAAATCAAATGAGAATAGAATTGGTCTACCCTATTTATAAATAACCAAAAAACACGCCAAACGGGCACTACTTTAATTAACATGCTAAAATTTGTAATCGCAAGACATACATAGATGAGTCAATGAGCAGTTGGTTCGAGTTCACCCTTCAAACCAGCTGGAATTGGGTACATGCATCTAACATAATATTGTGCATTGAAGATTGGGTCCGTTGAAATCAATTAGATCTGATGTACGCCCATGAGACTCAATAATAGTTGTTGACTTGGTAGATAAAGAATTGCAACCTTCCAGTTGGCGTGCGTTTAACTTTAAATAGGTGGTGCAGAGTGCAAGATCAGTCAATGGGTCGGGTCTATATATTCAATTGATACTGACCACTCAACCGATCGGTCAATGACCTCTTATTGTTAATCAATTTAAACCCAAACCTTTTCATATAATTAATAATATAAAGGCCTTCTGATTATATTTTTATGTTTTATATCTACAAAGGTAAATTTTACATGTAGATTATATAAAATTAGTGTTTTTTAACCATCATTGACCCGCATAGTCATACCGTTCGGGCTAGGAACCGTTTAGGCAATCGGTTTTATTTTTGCATAAACCTGGAATCTGGTCAAAAACCATTCAAAATGTCAATAGAATTTTGATCCGGGTGGTTGAACCGTTGAATCGTTGGCCCATTCAACAATTCTTGACCATTTTTTATTTTTTAATTATTTTTTATTTTTAAACTTTCCTATTAGAATGAGTTATCCGTTCAAATCAGACGGTCGAATCATTGACCTAGAAACCGGTGACCAAAACGGTTCCATTTCTGGGTCGTTTTTTAAAACATTGTATAAAATAATTTAGTTAAAAATACTTATTTTATCAATATTAGTGTAAGGGCATAGAATATATTCCTTACATTATGTAAAAGTAGGGGTGGATTCGAGCCGAGCCGAGCCAAATAATACAAGGCTCAAGCTCGGTTTGAGCCAAAACCTTGAGCTCGAGCTCGGCTCGGCTCAGCTCGTTTTATATTTTATAAAAGAAAAAATTATATATAAAAAAATTTTTATTTTATATTTAAAAATTTAAGAATTATAATATTTTTATTATATATATTATTTTTTATAATTTTCACAAGCTGATCTCTAGTAGGTTCAAGCTCGGCTCATTTAATAATCGAGCCACTAAATTGGGCTTGAGCTCAGTTTAAGTTGAGCTTTTCATGAGTCGAGCTCGAGCAGCTCGTGAGAAGCCTGGCTCATTGCAACCCCTATGTAAAAGATAAAGAATTTGAATTTTATAATATGATGAAAACCCAATGCAAAAGTAGGAATGGCAACGGCGCAAGGCAGGGACAGGGAGCCTCTCCCCATCCCTATCCCCAATCCTGCTAATGGGGACAATGTTATCCCCATCCCCATCCCCACGGGGATCCTTGTGGGGATCCCTATTCTCCGTAATTCTTTATAATGCTAACCGTTTTGTTTTTTTTTATTTTATTTAAAAATATAAAAATAAAATAATTAACATTTATAATCTTATTAGAAAATGTTCAACCATATTTTTAAAAAATATTAATATATAGGTATATGTTTACATATTTACATGTATAATATATGCATACATATACACATATATATTAGTGGGGATCACATGAAATGGGGATCGAGGTCCCTGTGGGTCAGCGAGTGCTCTCCCTGTCCCTGCCCTGTCCCCGCTAACGGGAATGAAAATTTCTCTATCCCCATCCCCATAGGAGAAAATCATCCCCATCCTTGCCTCATTCAGGATGGATCCCCACAAATATCAAGAAAACGAAGAAAATTACTATCCCTAAATGCAAGTATCGATTTTATGTTAAAGATATAAACTGTTACGATGTTACAATAATTTTTATAAGGTTATACTATAAAAAAAGCAATTAAGTTGTTATATAAAAGTAATCATTGATCTCAAGTATAATAATCAGATCAAATCCGTAAAAGAGGAAGGTTGTTGGCCTATCTTATGGAACCGATTGATAATTGGTATGAGACTGTACAGTCTGTCCCAAATCAGAACAACCCATTGACAATTCTAAAATTGGTGCAACTTGTAATGACAATTATGTCTTACGTACAAAAATGTTAATATACATTGATTTGCATATAACTGATTAGTAGACTTGCATGTGTGTTGCACATAGCAGTTTTAAATGATGATGGCAGTAATAATATTTTCGTATTTTTATTAAAATTTATAGAAAAAAAGAAAATTGACCAAAGCATGGTGTATTGGCAGATGTGTTGTCTTTCAATTCAAACACCTAACTTCAAATGTTTTTATAGTTTCTATCGATATTTTCAACATATGATTGAACCATAGAATTCAATTTATAAGGTTGTTATTTGGACATACTTTTTGAGTTTGTTTTAACCTAAACCACTTTATTGAAAAAAAAAGGATCATTGACTTAGTCAACAACCAAATGACATTACTAATTGAACTATCAACCTATTTAACCAAGCCAATAGGCTAATGGAGACATTAATTCTTTTTTTTTTGTATTTTTAGCCATTTCTATTTTTACTAACAATAATTTTCATTTTTTTCAAATATAATTTTGTTTAATATGAATAATATATAATATTAATGAATATTCAATTTGTTCTATAAATTTTATAAAAAATTAATTCTATACTTTTTTATTATTTAATTTATGATATAATAAAGGCTACTTATTTACTAGGAGAAAATGAAATTCTAATATATTGTTTTTTAATATTGTGGTCAAATCAATTGATTAGATTGATTGATCCACCACCTAATTCAAGATTTTAGGTCCATTTGCCACTGAACCACTTGTTAGTGGGGACCTAGCTAATTAAATCATTGATCCATTTGACATGATTAATGGGGTCATGTGTTAGACATTAATATTCTTTATTTTTTCTTCTCTTAATTTTTATCCCATTTCCATCATTAATGAAAATGGTTTTCATTTATAACACTTTTTATAGGGTGAATTGATGAAACTTCCCCTAAAGTTTGGTAATTGCAATCACCTCCCTTAAACCTTTTGACATAGTTGCAATTAGACCCCCTTTATCAGAATCCTCTTAAAAGAGGTATAAAAGTGACCAAAATGTCCATGCATTTGCTTTTGATTGAAGTGTTTATTTTACAAATTTTCTTTTCATATGAATTTTTAACCCAAGCCCTTCCAATCTCTTTTCTAAATTTGATTTTTTTCCAAATCTTCCCTTGATATAAATTGCTCTAAGGTAAAGCAACAACATTAAATTCTTTATTGTTTTGTTATTTATAAAGTTTGTATTTCTTCTTTTTTTTTTGTAGAAACAAATCTCAATAGTAATTAAAAGGTATTTTGAACATTTTTGTGCCTCATGGTTGAGGATTATAATGGAGGGGGACTGCTTGCAATTGTGTCAAAGAGTTCAGAGAGGTAATTGCAAGTACCAAACTATGGGGGGTTTTAGTAATAGTTAGAAAATTCATGGGAGGTTTCATCAATTTACCCTTTTTATATAAATAATATTTAATATTATAGAATGTGCCCAAATTTATCTACAAATTTCTATATTTTCTAGAACTTTATGTATTTTATTTTTAATTATAATATCATGTTTTGATCCATTTGAACCATTAATCCACCACTTGGATGAAAACACCATTTTGATTTTTCAATTGATTTTAAATCTTGTATTCTATTTTCATCATTAATAAAAGTAATTTTATCTTCACATTTATTTTTGTTTAATATGATGAATATATGACACTAGAAATGTATTAAAATGCTTTATACAAAGCTTACCTTAACTCTTTGACACAGGTAAAAGCTTATTTATAAGTCCATCATTAATACAATTATGTCCATTCTATCATACTTATCTTTTTTTAATATGACAAATATACAAAAATAGAATTGTGTCCATTTTTTCAAAATTTCCTTATTTTATGTACTTTTTAATTTGTCCATTTCTTAATTTATATTATTTTGTCTTGACATCATGGAATTATCCATTTGACCAAAATGGTTGAACTACTTAGCCACCACTTAGATGGAAAAAATGGTTTTATTTTTAAAATATAAAATTTCATTATTGTGTGAATTTATTAGTGGAATTTAATAATGAAAAAAAAGTATAAATGTTGGATTCAATGAGAGAATGAGATTTATTTAAAGCCTTAAATGCATGAGGTGATTGAATGTAATTAACACTTTTTAATTACATTCACTGAACTCTCGGTGAAGATGAACCAGACTCAAGAGTGTTCTTTTAGTAAAAACAATTCCAAAAACCCAATACCTCATTCATACTTTTATAATAGTATATAGATTTTTGGAAACTATCGAAAATTATTTTTAATAAAAAATTGGAAAAAAAGAAGATAAAAATAATCTAATTTGGACTTTTTCCTCGCCTATGTCTCCCTCACCCCTTCCTTCTTGCCTAACTTAGGACCCCTGCCTAATTCCATCAAGTTGAACAAATTATAGTTTCTAGTAATGCATAAAATAGCCAAGGAAATTAATGGTTTACAAAAATGAGCAATAACACTATTGAAATTTATATACATAGGAAAATGATCATCATATCTGACAAAAATCAAATGCTTCTCAATCCCATCCCCTTCCCCTTATTTTCCTTTTGAATATGATTTTGTTAAGAAAATTATTTGTTTTCTTAATTTTATGTGATCTAGAATCCAGCCTCTCAACAAAATTGATATGAGCTTTGGAGCTGAGGGTACTTGGTTATATTTCTGGTCTAGTTCTTAATTAAATAACTATACATGGTTGTTGAGTAGGTTCCCTTGTCTGCCACTGAGAAGACTGATTTATGTTCCAGAATTTTATGGAATAAGTTGTACTCTTAGCCTTACCTATAATTTGAACCATGGAAACCTAGAGGCCATTCTGTGTATGTGTTATAAACATGACAATTAGAGGTAACCTCTATAGGTAGCTCTTGTTGTGATCACAGACTACAAAAGAGTCTAGATCAACAATCAAGCGAAAGGGAATGTCTTGGGTCTAAGGATATAGGACAGATGAGTGTAGGCCCCTATAACTTGCCACCTCTATTTAACATTTGAACAATTAAAACCCACCCTTGACAGTAGGGGTACAATTAAATTGAGCTTTATTAGAATAATTTGGCCTTCAGTTTGATTAATCCCAATTCAAGTTGATATTAATCAAATTCGAATCTCAGTATAAGCTCGATTGGCTATTTGAACCCAAATTCAACTAATATAATAAATTTTTTGGCTTCACAGCTTGTTATATATAAAAATATAAAAGTATATTAGTTTGTTGAGTTTTTTTAGTCAAATCAAACTTAATATCAGAGTATTTAAATTGAACCGAGGCAAGGCATGTCGTTGAAGCTCAACTTCGCTAGGTTCAATTGCACCCCTACTCGACAGGGTCCTACCAAAAGCATTGATCCCAACATTCAAGACAATATGATGAATTTTAACAATCCGATGCTGTCATTATTTGTAGAACTCCGTCTTTTAAACTGTTCTAAGGTAGCGATCACTCTTTTCAAAATCAGATTCATCAGACGGTCAGATTGGAAAAACTGGGAATGAGGTCATTGGTTCTGTTTTTCTCTATAATTGCTTTTTCCCTCAAAATTGTTGATTTTGGTCAGTAAATGCTGAATCAGCCGGTTAATCATTTGAATGATTTTGACTGTTTTTTAATTTATTTAGATTTTTTTATTTTTTTGTCAGAATGGGCCGGCTGTTTGGATTCTGAGCAGGGTTAGGATTGCTTAGGAATTAGGATATAGCCTCAGGTGGATCAGACTAAGGGTCTTAATGGACTGGTTTTGGACTGGATGCCGTCCCTTCCAAAAGCAATTCGGATGAATTGGATGGACCAAAAAGATATAGTGGATTGAATTAATTTAGTCTAAAATATTTATTGGATTAGATGGATGGACGAACCGTAACAAATTTGTATTGGATTTGGTTGGATTAAGCCAATACCCATATTCGATAAGAATATAAGTGTCAATGGACCTGATTTGGGTTGAAACCAATCTAAATTAAAATAAATTTGAACGAATTGAACCAACCCAAAATGATCCAAATTATTTATTGGATTGGATTGGACCTTATCCATTTGTAATGAACTCACATTACACTAGATCAGATTGGACTAAATCCAATCCAATGAATACCCCTAGATCAGACTAATCTCAAGTATGATTAGTTGAGAGCAACACTGTGAATGAGGTAGAACCAATGATAAAATCCCACACCAGTGATTAATTATAGAACTCAGTTTAGCTGAGTAAAATGGCTATTCAGTGGATTGTGGTAATAAATTCATGGGCCTCACTGTAAAAGGAGTGGATTGTGGAATCAATGATAAGGTTATGGTAATATATTCATGGGCCTCATTGTAAAAGGTGTGGATCCCATGTATCTTATTTCTGGCATAGACCCTGTCACTTGTTCCACAAGAGCTTGATAAACAGCCATCGGGTTCAGCTAATCTTTATTTGTTATTAAATGCATATGGATCAAATAGCTTAATCTTGACTTAGAATTATTTATAATTGGTATGGAGCTTTATTTTTGATTCCATAGCCCATTAGACAGCGTCACATTCAGTTTATCCAAATTACATTAATTCAGAGTTTACTTGTTTATATGGGCGGGACTCGGGCTTATCTTTTGGCTAATTTAGAATAAGCCCGATCTTGAACCTGAATTCAAAACAGTGTAAAGCTAAGTACAAAGCCCACCCAGTAAATAGGTCTAATTGTGTGAATAGAGTTTGATTCATTTTGGTCATTTAATATAGAAATGCAAAAGAATTAGATCGGATTTGAATCAGAGTATATCCGAATATGATATGATGAACTAAAAGTCTGATTAGATCTCAAAAATATTGATTTGGATCCGAATCCAATAAAGGATGTTGAATATCCAAATCTAATCCAATCCAATATAATTTTTAAAAGTTAATAAATTATTATTAGCTAATGATAATTACCAAACGACTTTTGTTCTAGGCTGAGCATCAACTGGTGACCTGTTAGAAATGATGATTGAAGCAAATGGTTGCCTGCAAGTTGCAACAATTAGGGTTTTCTTATTAAACTATTGAACAAATTTCCTGCACACTCATTGACGATGTTACTCCTGAAATTTGTTAACTGGATCATATTCATGATGGTGGCGAATATAATCAGATAATCGTCAGAATTCTCAGCTACAACAATGGGAACTCAAAGCATCATCGCAGGGTTATGAGGTACCAATGCTACAAAAGTCGTCACCACCATTGGAAGCTGAATCACCACAGCTGCTTTCACCATCCTACAATTCAGTGTCTCCAACTCAGATTTCCAGCAGCAGTGGAGGTTCTGGGTCTGTGCGTTCAGTGTTGGGTAATCAATTTAAGCAATCCTTCTCAACGAAAACATTCACATTTGAAGAATTAGCAGCAGCGACCAATGGCTTCTCAGAAGCCAATCTTCTAGGAGTGGGTGGTTTTGGGTATGTCTACAAAGGGATCCTTCCTGATGGGAAAGAAGTAGCAGTCAAGTGCCTAAAAGCAGGAAGTAAACAGGGCGACCGTGAATTTCTTGCTGAGCTTGAGATTATTAGCCGTATAAATCACAAGCATCTGGTATCATTGGTCGGGTATTGCATTAAAATGTGTGAAAGAATGGTTGTGTACGAATTTGTTCCAAACAAGACCTTGGACTTTCACTTACACGGTATGCGTTAACTTATTTCTGAATTTGATTTCCATATATTTGTTTTCTCAACTTAATTCTAGCTAGTATTTTTCTCATATTTGCAGAGAAAGATCAATCAACTTTGGATTGGGCTTTAAGACTAAAAATTGCTATTGGAACTGCAAAAGGACTTGCATATTTGCACGAGGACTGTGAGTTTAATTAAGCACTTTTTAGTGAATCATAAGGTATATATTCTTCATTCTAACCTTACTTAACTTTAAGCATTTATCTACAGGCCAACCTAAGATTGTCCATCGTGATATTAAGTCTACAAACATTCTCCTTGACTCTAAATTTGAGGCAAAGGTAAGATCTCCCTCTCTCTTCCCTGGCTACACAGAATTCAAAAACCCATTAAGATTTTATAGTGAACACTGCACGGGCTGTTTTTCAAAGATAAATTTTTAAGAGAAAAAAAAACTGAAGTAATATTGATTCACTAAAGTTTTTATATATTTATATTTCTTTACGTATAAAATAGTAGAAAAATAATTTTCTTTTCCATTTTAATTATTGAGCTTCAAATTTATCCCTTTTTATATAGCCAAAAAATGTGCTTAACATGAAATTAATAACCAATTTAAAAACAATTTCAAAATTGAACTAACAAAGATAACCAATGGCTCATGTCAAGTGATTTTATTTATTGTTGGAACAGAAAAACCCATGAAACAAATCTACATTAAATTAATAAAATAATAGAGAAAAACCCAATAATCTATACTACTTTAAATTAAATAATAGAGAAAAACAAATCTACATTAAATTAATAAGATAACCAAAGGCTCATGTCTTGAGGCACGAATGGCCTCAAGAATATTTCTGGAATTTTCTAAGGGCATAATTTACCCCTCTAGATTTAAATTTATTGATAAAAAATGAGGGCAAATAGAGCAATTGGTTCTTGATATTAAATGAGTTGAAAAGAGGTAATTTAAAGATATTCAATTCTCTCTCATTAAACACAACATTTAAGTTACTAACTTGCATTCATGTTCATTGAATCATATATTTAAGCTATTTTTGTTTATTCTCATTATTAAGTTATATTAATTAAATCTATACTTAATAAATTAATAATTTCAATAACATAAAAGCTTATACTTTTAAAATCTACCAAGCAAAAATAGTATTTTCATTTAGAAGTGGTGGTAAGAAATTAAATCATTTTGGGTGAAATGGGTTAATCCATGTTTCCATGACTAAATAATAAAATTAAAAATAGATAAAATGAAAAAAATTGGAAACATTTTTAACATACATATTAAACATAATAAGTATGATAAATAAGAAATATTTTTATTAATGATGAAAATGGAATGTAAAATTTAAAACCAATTGGAAATAAAAATATTTTCCTATTCTCTCTCATTAAGTCCTATATTTAAGATATGTTTTTCTCATCATTAAATTCTTGTAATTAAATCTGCAATATTAATTTTAATAGTATAAAAATAAATATTTTGAAAAGTAATTTGAAAATAAAAACATTTTCTTCACTCCCGGTGGTAGGCAAGCAATTTGACCATTTGGGGTCAAATGGATTAATAAATAATGTCATAATTAAATAATAAAAATTTAAAATAAATAACTATGAAATGTAAGAAGTATTTTTATTAATGATAAAAATGGAATGTCAAATCCAAAATATATCGAGAAATTAAATGATGTCATAGTAAAATAATAAAATTTTTAATAATAGAAAGTACAAAGAATCACAAAAAAAGATAGAGAAAATTTTAGGCACATATCTAATGTTATATAGTTATAAAAAAATAAGATATTGGATACATCTCTAATATTGTGCATTCATTATATTAAACAAAAATAAGTTTTATACATAAGAAAAAATTTTATCAATAATAGAAATGTAATACAAAATTTAATGTCAACCTAGAAATCAAACAATTTTTATTTTTAGATGGTGGGTTAGTGGTTTGAGTCAAATGATACCATAGACAAACAAAAATTAAGTGTGGAAAGTAAAAAACATTTTATATAATGTAAATGAAATATATAATTTATAGGGAAAATTATAGTCAAAGTCGATTGTACATTTAAAATTAGGTTGCAAGTTGGTTTAGAAACCAACAAAACTCTACATTTCAAATTATAAAAACCTCTACCATGTTATCGGAGGCTTATGTGGTTGTTGCCAACATGGGACTTTTAGTCCATATTGGACACAACAAAAAACCTATACCGAAAATAGGTTTTCAGTTTCTCTCCCACTCCCTTTGTCTCTCAATCTCCCTCCCTTCTCTCTAACTCTCACAATCATCTCTCAATCTCCCAATCTTTTTGTTTCCCCCACTCTCAGCTTCGGTCTATAGTTAAATCAAAACCTATCTCTCTCTTTATTGTTCTCCCTCAATCTTTTTCATTCTTCTCCCTCACTTTCCCTCTTGGTCAATATCTTCTTCTCCATCAATCTCTATCGTTCTCCAGTTGCTGTAAATTTTATAGCCAAGAGTTTCTTGTGAATTTTATTAAATTGGTGTAATAATTTTTTAACCATATCAAATTGGTCTCATGCTCTTTTATACGATCTAATTAATACCATATAAGTGTGTAAGAAAATAAAAACAAAAGAGAGAGGGAGCGGGAGAAAACTGAAGGAGAACGATAAAAATTAAGGGAGAAGAAAAGATCAACCAATAAAGAGAATGAGAGAGATTGAAGGAGAACTATAGGTAGAGAGAGAGAGAGAGAATGAGAGAAATTGATATAGAAAACGTAAATACAGAAACCAAAAACCATTTTTATTTATTTTCAAATCACATAGTCATTGAGCAGATAAAGATGACTGTGAGTGAGATGGTGTAAGGGAGATTGTGAGAGAGAGAGAGAGACTAAAAACCCTTTTTTTATTTCCTAATCACCCAACATTAAAGGGCAATTTCAGTTTAAGCTTTTTGTTGTGTCCAACATGGATTAAGAGTCTCATATTGGCAATAGCCACATAAGCCTCTGGTGACATGGCGAGCATTTTTATAATTTGAAATGTAGAGCCGATTGCCAGAGTTATGTTGGTTTGTGGACCAACTTGTAGCCTAATTTTAAATGTACAGTTAGCTTTGACTATACTTTTCCCTAATTTAAAACTAATCCAAAAGCAATGTTATTTTCTTATATGGTGGGTCAATGATCCTAGTGCTCAGTTTGGGTTTACAAGAATTTCTCCTGGTGCTCAGGATTTGTTGCAATCTGTTTGGGTTTATCTTTTTTTGTTTGGTGCTTGTACTCTCATGGATTGTATTTGAATTTTTGAGCATTATTAATGAATTTAGTCATTGCCTTCAAAAAAAACTTTACCAATAAACCCATGATGTCATAATTAAATAACAAATATTTAAGTTTATTTTTAATCATATTATTACTTTTGTTAATTTTCAATTTCTACCTTAACTATGATATATTTAAAATTCAAATAATTACTGTGCTTAATTACTAGTCCATGGAAAAGGAGAAAATGGTTTCTTTAGACTTGTATACAAGAATATCAAACTTGGGTATTGATATTAGTTTTGGTCAAAGATAGAGTTCATATTTACGAGTCAAAAGAGATTAAGAGAGATTTAAGAGGAAAATGGATATTTAATGGGGAGAAGAGATGTTACAAACATTGATTATTAAGGTGAAAGAGAGAATAATGGTGTTGTTAGAGAGTAAATATGGAATTTACAAGAAACAATGAAAACCCATCAGGGCTTTAATTTTGTTGTGTTATATTTTTAATGATTTAATTTAAAAAATAAATATACACATGTAAGAGAAAGGAGAGTAAGAGGCACATGTGAGTTTTTGTGGTGAGATGACTCCTCACCTCCCCTCTTTCATCTTTCTATTATATGTATATAGATAGGGGTGCAAGTTGGGTGGGTTGGGCCAAGTATATGGTCAACCTAGGCCTGGCCCTAAAATTTGGGTTTAAGGCCTGAGCCCGAATCGACCTCATGGTCAAGCAAGATCTTCTCAACCTGTATTGTAATTTGATGCACTCAAGTTGGGCTTTGGCCCAGGCCGTGCTCAGGTTGGCCAATGAACCCACTCTAAAATTATAAATATATATATATATAAGCAAAAATTACATATATATACATATGTATGTATGTGTATACTTGTGCTGGGCTCAGGCCAGCTTTGGACTACCCTAAGGACTAGGCCCAGGCCCAGCCCAAAAAATAAAAAAACCTATCTTCTTGGGCCCAAGCCCAGCCCGTGTAAAATTTCAGGTTGGGCCCGCCCAAGTTGCACCTCTATAAGAAAATCAACTAGAAACATATGTAGCAAGGTGTTTTTGGACGTGATCTAACCTGAATTTGGGATCCCACTTCTATAATTTGGTACCTAACTAGGATTTTTTTCTCAGGTTGCAGATTTTGGGTTAGCAAAATTCTTTCCTGATACTGAAACTCACGTTTTAACCCGAATAATGGGAACTTTAGGGTAAGGGCCATTGCTTTAATTAATTTGGTTCATTCTTTTTGTGCTTTTATTCATATTAATAGATCGAACGGTTTAGGTTGATTTTTTTATCGATTTCAACACTGCCATGGTAATTTACAAAAAGAAAAATGAAGGGGATGAACAAAAGAAATTAATTCTAATGGAATGGTTTTGTGACTTCTGTCCATTATCGTTGTACCTTGCTATATATTTTGCTGTACAGATCTGAAGCAAATACAAATTTTGCACCTGTTTTAGTTTTGCATTGGGACTATGGTTTGCACTTATACTTTGGTAAAGATTTTTCACTAGTTGTTTCATTTGCAGTAACTCGTAATACAAAACTTTACATCTATAAATGTGATGCAAAATTTTGAACCACCTTCCAACCAATATAATTGTCCCTTATACACTGTTTGTCTACTCCCATATAAACAACTCTAGATCTGCTTCTGCTTCTTCTACTAAAAAATGCTTCCAATCAGCCTTCCATCAAGACATCGGGAACATTCTTCATGTGCGACTGTAGACCTCGTGATTGGTTTTTTGATATTTGAAGATGGGCTGGGCTGGTTACCACCGTCGGTGGGGGAAAAACCTCTTTCTTCTTCCCTATTTTGCCTAAGTTATACATAACGGGTTAGTTCGAGGAAACCCAGACCTTCAAATTCAGATATATTGAAATGTAAAAGTGTTTCATTTCACTTTCAACTGAAAATTTAATGGATTACAATAATGGAGAAAAAACGGGAGATTTAACAGCTCCGTGGAGAGAATAATAGTTACGTGGAGAATCATCTCCATGTAACTATATACATATATGTTTATAATTATATAATTATTATATATATTATATATGGGTCATACTGGTCCACTTAGTTAAGCCTTGCCATACTGGCCCATGGGCCGAAAAACCCAAGTCCAACATGACCCATCCCATTGTGCCATGCCTAACATGGCTCGTGTCAAGGTGTGCTGGGTCGAAAGCGATATGGCCCAATTTATACCACTAAAAGTACCACATCATTTTACTTTTTTACAAATGAAAATGGCTAAATAGAAAAAATAAAAGTTGCACGCTCATTTATGGAATTTCAACTACAACATGTAGCCTTAGGTTACCTTTTCTTTTTCTTTTTTTAAGGGCATAAATGTGGCCTTATTTAATAGCTTATGTGTATGATTCTTTTATTTACTTCAACTTCGTCATGGTAATCTACCAATGAAAAAAAATGTCATGAAATGATTTTAGTTATTAAGGTTTGCTATGATTATTATTCTGCTCTAATTCTTTTCATTTTTTCATAAAATTAACAACTTTTGACTTTACATAGGTATCTTGCTCCAGAGTATGCATCATCTGGGAAAGTAACAATAAAATCAGATGTCTATTCATTTGGGGTCACATTGCTGGACTTAATTACCGGATACTCCCCACTTCATGAATCTCGGTTCGACATAAATGTTGGTTTTGTAGACTCGGTGAGTATGTCAACGTTTTATTTTCCTTACATCTAAGTATATGTTTGGCATTGATAATGCAGATATATCATCATTTTCTCAGAAGACAGTGTTGTTGATGTGAGGGTTAGAAGTACGTTTTCTGAAAAAATGGTGTCTTTTTTTGTTTGGAAACATTGATGTCAGGTAGGACATTTTTTGGAGCAATAGTGTTTTCTGTTTGATACCAATGCTTTAGGAAACGTTTTCAGCATCGATACAGTGGTACCTATTATCTAGTGCCACATCATGTCTCTGTCACTGCCACCTCATGTTTCTGTTGACAGCAATAAATTGCAGCTCTAAGAAATGTCAAATTCGACGTTGCTCCAAACCATGCTTTCTCAATTTCCAATGTGTGATTTAGAGCACAGTTTTTTATAAAAACGATTCCAAACAAATAGACATTTTTGGAGCACCGTTTTTTCCAACGTGACACTAATGTATCACCATTTTCTGAAGCAACGGCAGACGCTAAATCTCTAAATCTTTCAAAGATGCTGCCATTCCATTAATTATAGTAGCATGCATGAAAAACTAGAACAATTTATCTCAATTTAATAGAATTTAAGTACACTTGGGTCTTTACTATTATGGTAAGATTAATTGTTTGAACAAGCTGTCTTTTATTGTGTACAATTTGCATTACAGGATCTTAATATTTTGAAATTGTAGGTGAGACCTAAGCTCACACAAGCTATAGAAAATGGCAACTATGATGCCGTTGTTGATCCACGGTTGCAGAAGGATTACAATGCCACTGAGATGGAACGCATGGTTGCTTGTGCAAATGCTTGTCTCCGTGTTGAACCCAAAGATCGACCACTCATGAGCATGGTAAGTATTTTGTAAACGATGTTTTGATTATGGTCAAACTGGTGGGCTGGGCGGTCGATTGGACTGGATTTGGTTGAATTTGATCTAGTTTAATGTGAATTCATTATAAATGGATCAGGTCCAATCCAATCCAATAAATATTTTAGATTATTTTGGATCAGTCCAATTAAATGTTTGGATGGTCCAATATGTTCAAATTCATTTTAACTTAGATTGGTTAATTGTAATCTAAATCCGTCCATTGACATCTATATTCTTATTATCATATATTAACGTATTCGATATTGGCTTAATCCAACCTAATCCAATATAAATTTATTACGGATGGACCAAGTCCAATCCAAAATGGTCCATCCAATATGTCTTGTTGAACTGTCCAATCCGTCTAAATTGATTTTGGATTGCATGGGGCCAAATCCAAAACCGGTCCATTGACACCCTTACTGGCCGACCATCGGACCTGTCACCCAGCCATGGAACCACTGTATTTTTGACCTGGTAGTGGGTTATGAGTTAGATATTTATTCTTTCTTTTTCTGCTGTCATTTTAAGTTTCGAGTCATTTTAATCATTAACAATGTTGATCATCATTTATCATAAATACTTTTATTTAATATAATAAATATAAAATATTTGAAATGTATTTCATTTTCTTTGCATTTTTTATAATTTAATATATTTATCTGTTTGTATATTTACATTATTTAATTTATGACATTTATGGATTCATGCGTTTTATGCATGAGTGAGCCATTGAGGTGCCACCTGAATGTTAGTTAAGGCAGTTCCTTTCTGATTGGTTTGAAAATCAATATTGGATATATCTGTGGGTACTGATGACCTATGTTGAGATTTTATGTCCATCCTATTGGCACTGATTCTCTTAAAATTGACCTAGCAGATTGTCCATGTCTTGGAGGGACTCAAGGGTGTTGCAGAACTGCACGTCGTTCATCAAATTGCTGAAAGCAACTAATAATGGAACTTGCAATTAAACTTTACACTATCACTTCATACTGCATTATCTGATTGAGATTTGAAACTAGAGACTTCTCTATTTATCCTTATCAATGGCATTGACTACTTTAATATTATTATATTTATCACTTATAATAAATATTTCATAATAATGCCTATTTGTATTAATAACATCTTTGTGGAGTAAAATGTTAAGATGGAGTACCATTCATTTCTATTCAAACACTCCTGCGGTATTAAAGTTGAAATATAAATATGACAGAATATCTCTTCTAAGAAACGAAGAATATTATGTTAACAATACAGTCTCCCTTGACACCCCCAACAATAAGTAGAGTGAGGCAACCACGTTCAAGTTGCCACAAGAAAAACCAAAATGAGAAATGGAGAGTCTGGTCGTGATGTTAGCCAATTGATCATTAATTACTTGGTGAGACTATATGGAATAAAGTTGCACTAATGTAGTCAGATCAAAAACTAGATGGGGTTGAGAAGAGGAATGCAACTCTTTTAGTTGAGGTTGAACCCAAAGAAGTTCGCAAGACTTTAATATATATTCACATGAGAAGCCAAATTAGTGCCACAAAAAATGCAATATATAACCATCCTATGAGCATTTATCATCTGGACAACTAGCTTAATCAGCATTGGAATTAGCAAAGAGGTGGTTCATAGAGAAACGCTGAGTCAATGTTTTTGAACTATCATTGACCCAGATGATCGGATCGTTCGGCCCGAAAACCATCCAAACAATCGTTTCCATTTTACCCCTAATCCAATCTTGGGTAAAAAATCGTTGATTTTGTCAGAAAATCGCTGACCTGAGTGGTCAAACCGTCGACTTGTTTGACTCGGACAATGATTCATAGTATAAAGACGTAGTAGAGAAACACACAAACTCAGATCTGTGGAAGAAGAAGAAGAAGAAGAAGAAGTTGCAGAGAATCTCGAATATGCGATCTCAGATCTACTATTGTTGCTGCTTCGCCGTCGTCGTCACCATTATCGTCACCGGTGACATCAAACCATTCTCCCCCTCTTTGTTCTTCTTCCCTCCTTCCTTTCCTTTTTCTTCTTTTCTTTTTTTCCTTTTTCCTTCCTTTCTTTCTTTCTTCTTCTTCTTTTTTTTTTACTTTTTCAACCGACATCTCTTCTCCACTCCAGTTCTCCTTTCATATAAAATATTTGCCCTAACCCTAATATACAAACTATCCGAACTGTTCGACCCAGACGGTCGAACCACTGACCTAGAAACCGGTACCTAGAACGGTTCCATTTCTGGGTCGGTTTCAAAAACCTTGCGCTAAATGAAAAGACCATACTCGATAGTATACTTGAGATACCAAAGGATATACGTGCACTTAACTGCACACCAATGTTCATTGGTTGGGGTGTGCATAAATTAATAGACTTGTAATTATCTGAAAAGGCTTCCTTTTTGGTATTTGGTAATATTCACCACTAATAACCCCCCTTTCCCCTAAGTTAGTGGTTGCAAGAATTGAATCCTCGTCCATACTGGAATGATCCAGCTAACACACCAACTAAGCCACCCCTCAGTTGGTAACTAAAAAGGTTATTTTTGATCTGGTAAGAGTTAGATATTGAAGAGAACCAACAATTTATATATTTGCAAAGAGTCCATTAAGAAGAGGGCTGCTAGAAATTTTTGAAAGCTTAGTGCTAGCCACCATTAGAGTGGAGGTATGTTTAGCACCATTGTTATTGGAATGCTCCACAAGTCATTTGTAATATACTTGTGTTGACTAAGAAGTAAACTATCAGGAGCAAGAAACTCCAAACACCCAAAACATAATTTAGCAAGAAACTATATGGTAGCAGCCTTGAATCAAAAAATCGTTACGTATTGGCCCGTATCGGCTGATACGTATCGTTCAGGAACCTCTCTGATACAACCCTAGAGTGGGTGTATCGGGGGTCTGACTGGTTCAGGGGGTGGAGGAGCCCTAAACCGATTTTGAAAAAAATAATAAAAAAAAAGCTATCAATATCACCCAATATGCCCCTACCAGCATACCAGGCGTATCAATACTTTGAACCTTGCTTGAAGCATTCTTAATTAATGAATAGAGAGGTATGCAACATTGAATTATGAAAGCCCAACGAGATAAGAAAACCATCCAGCTTTTGATAAAGCCATAGAGGGATTGATTTGCATAGGTAGAACACATGATTGGAATATCAAGATCAACCAAGCCAATGGCTGTAACATGTGCGCATCCATACATAAATCCCACCATCAAGTTGCTGAATAATCCAATAGCGAGAAACTACAACCCTAGGAACCACTTAAAAAACGTGCAAGGCTTGGCAATAGGGTTAAATTTCATTGTAATCTAAACCCTCACTCTAGCTAAAATCCTTGGCAATCAGACTGGCCTAGCAATCAAATGAAACCATCCATTTCCTTTTTTTTTATATACAAGAGACCCATTTGCAACCAATAATATAATATTAACATTAGGTGGAAACGGAGTGAAAGTCCATGTACCATTATTGAGAGTGCTAATTAGGATCTTTGATTCCTTTAGAGAAGCAAGAAAGCTTAGAATCAAGAAGTGGGTATTTAAATGCCTAAAGCACTTTGGGCTTAGAGAACCCACTTGTTCACACCCCATTTTTGCACCCATTATGTCTTGTTTTATGTCTTTGCAGTACTTCCAAGAGCTTTTCTATTGCATTAATTGAGAATATTAGTACACAAGGGCATTTTGGTCTTTTAGGTATTTAATAATGATATTTGCTAAATTAGACTTTAGGGATACATAAGGGATGAGATTTTGAGACTATACATGCCCTTCATTCCTAAATCTGATCTTTAACTATCCATCTGATATAAGGTAGCTGATTGGTTAAACCAATCATAGAACCAGCCTTGAAATAAATCTCAAAAGTACTTTGAGGTGTGGAGATTTGAATCCAAGTGCCCATTCATGACCTACAAAGTCATGTAGATTATCAATACTTTTTGCATTTAAAGTTCTTGGAATATGTGGCAAACTTTGGTTGGAGGGTTCATGTAAAAGGTGGACCAAAGGGTCCATATAGGATGTGAGCTCATCATATCCCATGTTAACATGGTCCTCCTTCAGCTAATTAAGCCTTGATGAAGCTTTTAACATGGCGTTTTAAACAAATGTTTCCAATGGCAGTTTGATCCTCTGTTACTAAAATGATAGTCGGTACCTTTCTTGCATTTCTAATCAAAGATAAATTAGAAGAAATTAAACAAGGATCAAAATATTAATATAGTGGATACCAACACCTTGCTTATCAATACAGATATCGATACTTCTAACAGCTTGAGAGGGATGCCTGCTACTTTCTAGTAATTTTCAATAAATACTGCTAACTATTAATCAAAAGAAAAGAACAATGGTTCATTTGTAATTATTAATAATTTCCCATTAAATAAATAGAAGAAAAAACAAAAATTGGTAATAATATCCGGTAATCGATTTTTGCTAATTATCAAAAACTTAGTATTATCTACTAATTAAAAGAAAAAAAAAACTATAGTTCGGTGGTAATTACTGCTAATTTTAGTAATTTAAAATATCATTTGTAATTTACAGTAACTTTCTTGTTTATAGTAATGTTCGATAATTTCTGGTATTTTCTGTTAATTTACTAATAATTTATTATTTGATAATGATAGATAATTTCTGGTAATTTTGTTTAGCAATAAATACTGGAATTTTATTTAGGGTTATTTTCTGTGATAACTTCTAGTAAATTTAAAAAAAATAAATATTGGTAATTTATTGCTACTAATATTAATAAAAATATAGAATTTATTTTGGGGTATTTTCTTTGATAATTTTTGGTAATGTTAAAAAATTTAAATAGTGGTAATTTATTGTCGTTGCTAATTTTAATTTTGATTTTAATGTTAGAAAAATTACAACATTTATCAATGAATACTGGTAATTTATTTTGGGGTACTTTATTTTATAATTTCTTCTAGTAACGTTTAAAAATTAAATAAAAGAGCATTTAATAAATAGAATTGTTGCTAATCACCGGTAATTAAGTTTGGTGTTAATTATTAGTTACTATTTTCACGATAGCTAATGGTAAATATTAATTATTTGATAACTCCAGTAGAAGGAGAAAAACTCTTCTTCTTTCTTATTTTTTTCCTTTGCAACGAATGAGTTATATACACACCTCTCCTAGTTACACCCAAACCGTCTTGTTCTTCCTTTTCTAATTACATACAAATTATTATGATAAGAGTTATCCCAGAATTAAGGGATACTCTCCTCATTTACAGCTCACGCCAATACTCCCCCTCACGTTGGCGCATACAAATCTTGGATGCCCAACTTGCCAAGTGAGTTGTAGAAGTTTTTACTAGATACAGCTTTTGTAAGTATATCTGCCAGCTGGTCTTCAGACTTGACAAAGGGAAATCGAATGGTTCTGTCTTCGATATTTTGTTTGATAAAATGCCGGTCCACTTCCACATGCTTTGTTCGATCATGTTGGACGGGATTCTGAGAAATTTCTATGGCAGCCTTGTTATCACAGAATAGGTCCATCTCAGAGGTTGGGGGGAAACCAATTTCAATCATCAAGCTTCTAAGCCAGAGTAGCTCGCAAAGCCCTTTAGCCATTCCTCGAAACTCAGCTTCAGCACTTGATAGGGCCACCACCTTTTGTTTTTTACTCCTCCACATGACCAGGTTCCCATTGACAAATGTAAAGTACCCCGAAGTGGATTTTCTATCTGAGATATTTTCGGCCCAATCTGCATCTGTATAGCCTTTTATCTTTAGATGATTATTTTTTGAGAACATAAGTCCTTTTCCAAGAGAAGACTTCAAGTATCGCAGAATTCGCATTACAGCATCCATGTGATCTTCGCTTGGGCAATGCATGAACCGACTTACTATGCTGACAGCGTAGGCGATGTCTGGACGAGTGTGTGAGAGGTAAATAAGTTTACCAACCAACCTTTGATATCTCTCCTTATTGGTAGGTACTTGGTTTGGGTATTCTCCAAGTTTATGGTTTTGAACAATTGGTGTGTCTGCCGGCTTGCACTCTAACAGTCCCACTTCGGAGAACAAATCCAATGTGTATTTCTGTT